GTTGTGTTCCGTCTCTGCGCGCATCCACAGTAATCTTCCCGAGGAAGAGCAAGTTCTTTCACGCTTTTAAAAACATAAATCAATCTAATCAACTTAAATAAATCAAGCACGTTCCGTTTTGCAAAAGTCTCGTTACATGATTTTACTGATTATGGAGGAACGAAAGAGCACCGCTGGAAAGGGGGCGGAATGGGGCGCAATAATCGTTTTATCTCGATTACTGTATTTTCATAATCGTTGGAGGCCGAAATCGAAACTGAATTTCGATTAATTGCACAGCCCTATTTCTAATCATGCTGATATTTGGGAAAACAGCACTCTTGCTTTTGCGATATTGCGGACTGTGTCATATACAAACAGAAACAACATTTTGCCCCCATATATTGAATTTTTGCATTCTAATAGGCTACATCACACAGAGAAAGTGTGCACTCTTAAGGCACAACAACAATTCCAATATTATTGTAGATACATATTGCAAACCCCTAAGTGTTACATCTCAATGTTTATTGTAACAGACAGTCAGCGTGTGGCTTACCTGTTCAGACATGTCTGTTAGCTGTCTCTCTGATCTCTGCTTATCTCTCTCTAGCCCTAAAGCTCTCTTATTGGCTTCATCTGTCTCCTTCTGCAGCCGATGGACCACCTAATATGCAAGAGAAAAGACACAGATTAATGTCACACCAAATCACCATCATGTTTTTTTTCTCCTCTGCCATCTACTTCAAATATGTGCAAACCTTCATAGCTTGCTCAAGTTTGGCACAAAGGCTGCTCATTGACTTTTGCATGTTTTCATATTCTTCCCTCTGGCGTTTCAGGATGGGAGCTTTGGTCTCCACCTCTAAAACTATCTCATCCAGAACCCTGTGCACACGCTTGTTCTCCAGCTTCTCCAGGTGCAGTTGGTCTTGCGCCTCCACAAAGGCATTATACAGCTGAAAGCAAATGTAGGAATGTTACTTATGATACACACAAAATTAGTTAGTTTGTGATAAACATCTTTTATACCTCCATTAGCTTCATGCCCGGCTTAACAATCTTGGCCACTGCAGCTGCAGTTGGGGAGAGGTTTGTCAGCTCCTCTTCTGTGAGAGCTGGAACACCTGTTGAAGTATACAAATAAAAAATAAAGTCTTGCACAATGAGATGACAATGTATTTACCCTGAAAAGATTCTTCAGCCTAAAACAAAGACAGGGTTTTTTGTGCTCATTACCTCTCCGCTTAAAGTCTGCAAGCCGTGTGTTGGCGTTCTCCAGCTCTTTCTCCAGATGCCTGACCTTCTCTTGTAGATCAGACTCTGCTCTCTCCCTCACACTCTGCAGATCTGACAGCTTCTTCTCTGAACCTTTATTAGCTGTTGATTAGAGACAGAATATCTGCTTAACACCACATAACATCTAAACTTGGCACAACATTTCACAGTGAGGCAATGATTTGTAAAATAAAAAAATTTGTAACCAAACCCAAAACAAGAAAATAGATATGTTTAGAGAAGCATATTACAATACTACTACATCTACAGTATGCATACTGTGAACAGATTTTGCACATGCAATACACTACACACAATATTCTAGATATTATATCCCACAATGCAATGTGCTCATCCTTCCTTTTCCATTGTAATGGTTGAAAGAAATATCTGTTACAATCTTAGCATCTTAACTATTTTTTAATATGAGAAAAGAAGAGATTAAATTGAAATTTGTGCAAAATTAGATAACCTTGTATACAATAACAAATGGATATAGATAGATAAATAGATAGATAGATAGATCGAATTACACTGAATTCAAAGTATACATTATCAGTTCACTCAAGTCCCTAGGAATTGAACCCATGACCTTGATTGCTAGCGCCATTCTCCGATGTCTAAGCTACAGGAATGAACTAAAATAAATGAACAAAATAACAAAAATATATAGATTAACTTAAACGTTTTTAATTTTCAAACCTTGCATCGCTTCCTTCAACAGTTTGTTGAGCTCTTCTACAGCTCTGTTCAATTCAGCGTTCTTGGCTTCAGAGTCTGCTGCCGCATTCTGTGAACACAATAGGATTCAGATTTTAATCATACCATACATTAACATTGGACCCTGCACAACAAATATCAACATTAACTGACCTTGTACAAATTACAGAGTTTGAGGTTAGCATTCAGCTCATTGCGATACTTTTCCTCCATGGAGGCCCGCTGGTCTTTAGCCTAAAAACAGAAGACAAAACGCAACCTTAATTTAAATTCTCTTCCATGTGAAATGGTAAACTAAATAAGAACAGGAAGGTGATAGTGAACCTCTTTTAGCTTGTTCATCATATCCTCGGTACTCTTCTGCATGTTGTCATTGTTTTTCTTGAGCGTGTTCACTTGGTCCTGAAGTCTGGTCACCTGATTATGACACACAGTACGTAAGACTGTTGCAGATAAGAAATCTAATAAGAATATAGCTCAACTGATAAATAAGCATCTCAAAAATTCCTCACACCTCGTCCTTCTTGCTCTCTAAAGAGCACTTGAGCTCCAGGATCGCTTTGCCCTTGTCTCTGGATAGTGTGTATAGCTCATCTGCCTTACTCTTCAGCTCTGAATTCAGCCATGTGTTCTGGTTCTGAAGGAGCTCCTTTTCTTGTTCCATTCGCTTCTCACGATACTGATGAGAAAGAAACACAGCAAACCTTTCAAACAATCAAATCAAAGTATGGACTCAACGATCAAATGTATTATTTCATTGTAGAGACAGAATGACAGCTAAATGGGAGTCAATATTCACCTGAATGGAAACCTCAGATGACTGAAGTTCATCTAATTTAAGCTGGAGCTCCATCTTGATTGTGTTGGTCTCCACAAGTTTGTCACTGAGACGTTTAAGATCCTCTGTATAATGAAGATAAGATACATTTTAGCAATTATGGATGACAAAAGCATACTTTAGAACTAAGTACCAACTCAGCTGCACATATGAGCAATCAATTCGTTTCTGACTAACCGTTTACTTGATTATACCGAAAATTAATTCATTTACAAATAGCTAATGGCTACATTCCACTGTTTTCATTTTATTTACTAAAATTTAAACTAAGTTTGGGGTCAGTAAGATTCTTTTTTTTAAATAAAATTGGTTAATTAAATTGACCAAAAGTTATTCTAAAAAAGATTTCCATTTCAAATAAATGCTGTTCTTCTGAACTTTCTATTCATCAGTAAATCCGGGGGGGGGGGCGTATCATGATTTCCAAAGAAGAAAAAAAAAGAAAAAAAAATATATATATTAAGCAGCACAACTGAGCATATTAGAATGTGACACTGAAGACTGAAGTAATCGCTACTAAATTCAGCTTTGCCAACACAGGAATCATTTTAAAATATATTCAAATACAGAAATATTTATCTATTATATTTTTTAAATCAATATTTGTGTTTCTAGCATATTTTTAACCAAATAAATTGCCTTGGTGAACATAAGACTCTTCTTTTAAAAACAATATTTTACTAACCAATACTGACCAATGCAAAGCATAGTAGTTTTTGCTATGGTATTGAGAATTGTGAAATTTCACATCTATTTGGACTGATATTTTGGTGCTCCAAAAGTGCTTAAAATGTTGTTCAATTAAGTAATGCAAACAATCCTATTTGGTTAATGCCATTAAACTCCAAAGTCAATGACAAGCTCGATCACTCATGCAAACGACAGTGCCATAAACTCATACCGCTGAGGTTTTCCACTTCTTGAGATCTCTTCTCAAGCATCCGCGAGAGCTCTCTGTTTTCTGCCTCGATTTCATATTTGGCTCTTGGTGGCTTACTCTGAAATGCATAACCATTGGGATATTTTCATCATCTTTTGCTGCTCAAGTATGAAGGTCCATATGAAGCATGACAGGTGAGAGACTCGTAGCTACCCCTTGTGTTGTCCCCTGCTCTTCCTCTATATCTTTTAGCTTCTTAAGTTCCTCAGCTTTAAGAAAGAACAAGCACACTTATGTTTTACAGCAATGCCGCATCAACACAATCCCCATATTAAAAACAAAATAACGCACAGGACTTACCGAGACGGCCGTTCTCCTCTTTAATACTGTGATACTCTTTACTTTGGGACAAGAACTGCTCCTGACTCTCAGCTAGCTTCTTCTCAAGATTAAAGTACTGTTGCTCTGTTCATTCAAAAAAAAAAAAAAAAGTAACATATATTACTGGGACAATTCATACTGACAGTTCCATTGAAACTTCATGGCAACGCATTTATGATTAAGACTGATTTGGAGAGAAATAGTAACTGTAAGAGAATGAATTAATGATGATTTGTAGGTTAACAAGGAAGGCTTTATATACCTATATATCATTTATATCTCTTTATCTCTGTATCTAGAGATCTGACCAATTGCATACATAAAGTTCAAGGTTAAAAAAACGACAAAACAGACAAACATGAGCCAAACGTTTTCTTTGGTTTGCCACTACCTCTCAGAATTATCTTATATCAAGAATTTTGTAGTGGACACAACCTGGTAGCTCATCTGTGCGGAACAAACAAGCTTTTACAAAATAATTAACCAGACAACATGTTCTTCAAAGTCTTGAATCAATATAAATGCATTTATGATGCCTAAACATGCTGTCTAGTGAGGCAGAACACTAGTGCATAAGATACACAGCTGTTGAATGAGTCTCTGGCCCGCCTGCTACCGTTACTCACCGCAGTCTGCTTTATATCGCTCGTGCTGGGATTTCAGAGAGTCTATTTCCGTCTGCTGCTCTGACAGAAATTTCTCGAGCTTGTTCTGAATTGCTTTCGGTAGTTTGTTTATCTCGGTTCTCTCCAGCGTTTGCTGAAGAAGTGCCGCCATCTCTCCGGCACACTGCAACAGTTAGCATTAGCAGCTAGCTGCCCTTACGACATATTTGAGCGATGTAAACTCAAGCCGCAAAGCAGCACGGACCTGCAGACGTATTGTCCAATCAGGTCTCTTGAACTGAGTAGCGTGTATTAGATGCGACGATATGTCACACGTATTGGGTCCACTGAGAACTCACCAGCTGTCTGAAGAAGTGTGCATGATCTGAAGGTAGATTTGAAGATTTTCTTTGCAATATTTTGTGGAACACTGTTGTTATATTGTTTCCTAAAATAGCGTGATTTTCTATGTGTTTAAAGAAGTTTACCCTTTTTTATTTAATTTATAGTGAGACGTTCAACAGCTTCTGTTCTTCATTTTGGAGCTAAGCTGTAGTAACAGTGATTGCTCAAAATAAAATCTAATAATAACTATATTCATTTTTCATTCTATTCGTTACACTGCCTGATTCCTACATTTACTTTTAGCATTTAAAACAATTACTTTTATTTGTAATTGTTTTATTTCTACAAAATAGCATATTGTCAATTTATTGTTATAGGCCATAATATGAAAATTATTTCACACATATTTTTGTCATGATCAAAAGGCTGACTAAATACACTTAATTCTGACTATTATTCACTGTCATTGAGAAGACTGACACTGATTTAAATGCTCATTTGAACTTCACAGATAATAATAATAATAATAATAATAATAATAATAAAATTAATCCCCTTAACAACTCCAATACCTGTCCAAATGTCACTATTTTCTCAGTGAAAACGCAGTATAAAAGTATTTTAACATTATTTCGCATCTGTTTTAAAAGTGTAACATATGTTTGTTTGGTTGTTATTTTACAGTTGCAAGCAGGTTAATATTGCACAATATTGGATTTTTATTATTTTTTTTCCTTTTGTATGTTTAGAGGCAGAATGGGTAGGAGTTATTTTGTAGATGAAGCTGTGGAGGAATATCTTAGTGGGCTTCAGGCAGCTCCTGGATCATGTGTGACCGGACTCCTGGCTGGTCAAGTAAGGATACTAAACTCATTTATATTTAATAATGTCAGTACACACAACTATTTTTCCTAACCTTTTCTTTTCGCAGTCCTCTCCTCAGAGAGATTTTGTGGTGCTGGCTGTGCAGACTCCTCACAGGGAGAGTGAGGGGCAGCCGAAGGCTTCGAGAGGGGTCAGCCCACTGGATGACATTGATGTGGAGTGGGTCACAGAACATGCCAAGCAGGTGATTAGCCTGATGTCTTAGTTACCACTTGCACAGTGGCTTTGAAATGTTTTACTGTCTAGTTGTACAGTAAAGGATTTTGACTTTCCTTATTCTAGGTGTCCCGCATGTTACCAGGAGGTCTTTGCATTCTTGGCCTGTTTTTAGTGACCCCACCTGAACTCTCCAAAGATGCCCAAAATGCATTAAAAAGGGTATGGCCCTTGATGTATTGTTTATTCGTTTTCTTAATTACGTTTAATTCATTAATTTTTTTCAATAATTTAATTAAGTTTAATCAAATACATTATAGCAATAATTTAGAAATTGACTGGATCACATTTTAGCTTGTTTTATTAAAGGTGATTTAGTAGGCCATCATCACTTAATCACTTATTTTTGTGCTGGTCTCTTTATATAGCTTATATTTGCCATGGATAAATACATCATTAAAGGGAGATTGTGGGAACTGTCAGAGGAGGATGTGACTGATCGAGTCACCCTGCATATCTGCTTCAAAACAAAGAAGTATCCTGCACACTACCTCCAGCTATTACCCCGCATATTAAACTCTGATCTAAAAGCATCACTTTATATGAATAACCACATAAGTTTGCATGATCCTTGACTTAAAGTGTACAGACTTGTCTGCAAAACATTTGATGTAAAAGATCCAAAGGTAAGAGACACTTTTTATGTCTTAGAGCTTGGAATAATTTGGCAAATAGTGTATTTAGCTGTGCTTTATTTACTGTTGAATTTATAGAGTTCGGCCAAGCCAGCAGACTGGAAGTATCAGACAGGTATCTCATCATCCTGGCCCATGCTGACCTGCTCTGTTGAGGTGGATCTGCAGATCCCTGTGACAGGATCTTCTTCTGATAACACAGACAAGTGCATGAAGGTGAGATGTGTATATATGAAAACAAGATAGTGCTTTCCCTGTGAAGGAGTTTGTATAGAATGAAGATTTGAAAAAAGGAAATAAGCAGAGTAAGTTGACAGGTTGTGAATTTAATCTTCTTTGCCCCCCTTGTCCAGGATGGTCTTAGGAGGTGGGCTAAACAGATCGAGGCTGCTTACTGTCTCATAAATGGCAGACAGGCATTAGATGACTCTGAGCTTATATCAGGACAGGTAAAAACTCTGTCATTCCTCTGTCATGTTGATTCTACAGTTGAGCTGAGGCACATGTTTGTTCTTTTCAGAAAAAGAACCCCAAAACAACCAATCGTCAGACACTGCCAGCACGGATCTTTGTCTCAGATGTGAGTGTCTTATCTTATAATGGTGTCTTCATATCAGTGGGTCGTATATATGTGTATTGTCAAATGTTTCATAGGTTTATCAATGTCACAGGAACAGTCAGAGCTGGATGAGCGGAGCAGTGCTCTGGTTCAGGTGTGCAGTGGCTCCATGAGGGTTCGAGGGGTGGTTCACTGCAGGGCCTACATCCACAACAACAAACCCAAAGCCAGACATGCAGCACAGGTCATTAATGCCTACTCATACTGCTTTATGCTTAGGCATGTGCAATGTACCATATTGTTATACGAGACAATATTCTATATATATAAAATATATCAATATTGGGTATTTAATTGTTTTTGCTCATTTGCCCTATTTTACATTACAGTGTACCATTGTCATCATCTAACTCTCACTTAACATTTTTTAAACACTAATAATGAAGTAAATACTCATTTTTTATACTGTACATTATGATGTTGTAATGCCTGAATTCATTTGTAGCATTTAAAACCTACAAAAACCTTATTTTTTTTTATTGTTTTACTATTCATTTATTTAGACAAAAGGATTTTAATAATAGCCATTTATTGGTTACCAGCCGTAGCATGAAAATTATTTCACACAATATTTGTCATGATTAGAAAGCTGACTTTTTTTTTCCTGTTTGCCTGTTATTTACTTCTAGATATTTGAGAAGATTAATACTGATTTAAATTCTCCTTTGTACTGGTAGGCCATTAAGAGAGACATCATAAACACGGTTTGCTCCAGAGTGGAGATGTTTCTGGAAGATCTTTTAATAAATGAAGGGAGTCAAAAAGGTACAGTAGTCCATCATGTCTTACATGTGCTGTTGAAAGGGATGGTTCACCCAAAAATGACAATTCTGTCATCAGATACTCACTCGCGGTGCATAAAAAGATATTTTGAAGAATATTAGCAACCAAACAGATTTGGTTCCCATTGACATCCATTGCAATGGTTACCAACATAGTTTTAGGTTCCACAGAAGACAGAAAGTCATTCAAGTTTGGAATGACATGAGTGCGAGTATGATAACAGAATCTTCGATTTTTGGGTGCGCTATCCCACAGCAAACAGTTCCACAATAAACCTTTGCAAACATCAAACTTAACACTAGATGGCAGTAGGTTGCCGCAATTGTCTTCATTGAGTGAAAGCTTTTGTACGTAGCACAAAAATAAATGTATTCATAATTCATCAATGTATTCATAATTCAAGTTCCCACACTGTTTTCCCACTAGGATTGTGCAGTGGGCAGCAGGCCCTTCCTCGGCGTGTGTTTGCACCAATGCCCATCTCTGGCCTGTCTGTGTGTGACTACATGTTCCCAGACGAAAGTACAGCTGATGTGGCCGAGCGTCTGAAAGAGATGCTGGACTGCGAAACACCAGAAGAGGACATAGATACTAGTTTGGAGAGCAATCAATGTAGGTTTCCATTTTTTAGTAGTAGACTTTAGGGTTAATTAATTCTCTCACTTTATTTGAGTGTGTCTTATGTTATAACATGGCTTATTTGAATAATGAAGCGTCAGTACTTATGGAATTGCACTGTTGTATTGGTTTACAAGTATCACCTCTAGGCTTTTCTAAGTGGTCCTCGGATGTGTGACTAGGGCATTGTGCAATGTAGAGTAAGTCCTTGCAAAGTCGTTAGGATTCAGGGATGACTGAACTCAAGTATTGTAGGAGCTTTATGGTTAAAGAATGTGTATAGGTGTGTGACTATAGAATACCAAAGGATTAACCTTGTCAAAATGGGTGCATACAGGCCTCTTGTGACACACCCTGCCTCATTTCTCCTCCAAAATAATAGTCAGCTACACCTTGCCTCTTGTTCAAACCAGTTTAAGTTTGCCCACAAATGGTTTCCATGTATGGTTAGAAGGAAAAATGTGGACGAGGTAATATGACTAGCCGCAGGCTATAGAATATCTGATCCCTTCTAATAACAAGCCCTTCAGGGAATTTTGGATTATCATCTCTATGACAACACAACCTCCACCTTGGAAAGAGGAGATTATTTTCCTCTTTTTTTTTTTTTTTTCCTTGTGTCATTTCTTCATCTTCAGTGGTACAAGCCTGCGATACCTATTAATTGCATATTTACACGTTTGTGCATGTTTTTTTTTTTTCTATAGTATTTTCCACTGTTTCTGGATCGGAGATAACTGACAGCCATGACGATGATTCCAGTAAGCATGTCATCTCAGAAATCCAAGCTGAAAATCCCAAAATTCAGAAAGCCCCTCAATATTATGCTGGTAAGTTATTCTGAATTATTAATTTTTAAATAGATAGCTCTCTTTTTCTCTGTGTGCAATGAATTTTATTCATAAAATAAATAATTCTCTTTCCATCATGGCATTAAATGGGACTCAACGATATACAGTCAAACCAAATATTATTCAGACACAAGAAATAAATTTTTTCTATATATTTTTTTACTTGTGGGTACAGGACGTTGTAGTTCATTTATGTAAGTGAGGATAGTAAAATAAAGTAAACTGTGACATATTATACCCAATAATTCTTCATACAGTGGAAAACTAATAAAAATCTGGGACCAAAAATTATTCAGACACTTTGACATGACCATGTTTTGCTTAAGTGTTTTTTCTTTAATTGCTAATGCGACCGAATTAAGCATTGCTTGGTAATTGGTTGACCTAAATTGGTATTATCTAATTGTGTACTTAAATTTAACAGCTGACAGCTATTCAACCTAATTCATTACATACCTTTCTATCAAAGATATGTGGCATTATCAATTTGTTCTGACACAGTTTAACTCTGAGTTCTGATCATATTTTGATGTGGAGAATGTCGAAGGTGTCTGAATAAATTTTGGTTTGACTGTAGTTAACAATAGGTTGTATAATGATACAGTGTGAGTGACTCCACGTTGGTTGTTAGTTGGCCTGATGTGACCATATTTTTCTTTGTGTGATTCCTATAATTCCTAGAGACATTTCCATTGGTCCATTTCCACCTCCTGATGACTGATGACCTCTCTCTTTCTCTCTCTCTCTCTCTCTCTCAAACACGCAGGTGTGGCCGTAGCAGCAGCCATTGCTCTCCTTGCCACAGCCACATCTCTACTGTATTTCAGTTAATGGAAATAGCAAAAATGTTTGTATGAGTGAGTGTGTATGTTTGTATAATATACTGTATGATGTTAAATATGATTTCAAATATAATTTTTAAATTTGGACTATTATAGGATTATATAAAATACAATATAAGGCAAACGTATATGGAGACTCCCTTATAATCAATAGGTTTGGCTATTTGTGTCAAGTCAAATATTAATGTTACACTATACAATTACAATCTAGAGAATTATGTCCCCAACGTTTACTGTCTGACCCCACTCATGGGTTCATTTTCTTCTGAAATTAAATGTTCGTTGAGAAACACTTCACAAACTGTCACAAAAGTTGAAGCTGAAATTAGTGGAATAGACAAACCCGACGTTCTCATATATTTGGCCATCAAAATATATATTTCAAACCTGTTAATTGAGTAATGATATACTGGTTACTTAATGTAAATTACAATTATGTGTTTTGATTTTTTTTCTTGGAATCTTTCCTCCTAATTTTCTTTGTTGGAAGATTGCTCACTAGTGGCATGTTTGCACTCATGCAGCCTCAATAAAAGATCAAAAGAAAAAGGTTAATTGTCATCATCCTGCATGTGTTCTTATAGAATGTTTGTGGCTTCCCTCAGTATATTGTCATTGTGCCATTTGTCTTGTCATTATCAAACCAGTTTCTTCTGGCTTCTGTAACAGCGCAGCATTAAAGGCATAAAGGAACTGTTATATTAAGTTTAACTGAATGGAAAATGCCCTTGGCATGAAATATAATAGCTGGAAACTATTTTTGTGATGATGGAATGGGTAATGACGCTCCTTCCTTCTAAATCAGGGGACTTGATTATTTTTCAGACCTTGGATCCGCTGTTGATACATACTTTATGATTTCTACATTGCAAAGCCATTAAAATTGTTCACATTTGAATGTGATTGGGCACTGAAACTTTTAGAGGAACTTTAGGTTTGTTCTTAGTTAATGCTTCTTTTTCTTTCTTTTTTTTTTTTTCTAGTTTCACATCAAACCATAATTGTTGGACCCCCTATTAAAGACCCCTGTTCTAAAGTACCAAAATCATCATCGTCATTTAGTTTTAACAATGTTACGCTGACCTAAAACCCCATTCACATGCACCTTCAAACGAGCACTTACACATGAATACTCTCTCATACACACACTAATCCTGGGATTTGTGAGTATGTTTTAGCAGTGATTTAGTTGAGGACGTGTCAGGACATGTTTTACCTGGAATGGCATTTGTAGCACGAAACTAGTCATGAAGACATAAAGGAACGAGGAGTGTTCTTGGCCTTTCTTGTGTTTTATTGAAATAAGTCACCCTGATGTCATGTAGTGCAGCATTACACCATATGAAATCACATTATTTCATGTTTTATTCATTAAGCAGATAGCGGCTCGATACACAAAGGATGACAAGAACAGTGTGACAGTTTGACTTTCATGTGGCAAGCCTAAGCATGCTTAAATAAGATGGCTACTCTCATTCTCTGCAAATCAGAGTTCCTATTATCACAGAAAACCAGACAATTGTATTCTGTTTTCTAGACCTGAAAAATGTCAGCGGAAACAATTCAATTTCTGTAATGAATGTACACTACTTTTTAAAAGTTTGAGGTCGGTATGTTTTGAAAGACGTTTCTTTTGATAAAAAGATACAGTGAAACGGACATATTGAGTGAATTACAAATTAAAGTAGCTTTTATTTAAATATATTTTAAAGTGTAATTTATTTCTGTGATGGCAAAGCATTTTGAAAAAGCATTTTTCAGCAGCCATTACTCCAGTATCACATGATCACTCAGAAATCATTGAAATATTCTGTTTTGGTGCTCACAAAACACTTCTTCTTAATGTCAGTATTGAAAACAGTTGTGTTGCCTAATATTTTTTGTGCAAACACTTAGATTCTTGGAGTAATGCTTTTAAAAAAAAATAGCATTTATTTGAAATAATTTTTTTTGTAAAATTATAAATAGCTTTACAATCAATTTTGATTGATTAAATGCATTCTTGATGAATGAAGGTATTACCTTCTTTAAAAAAATACTGACCCCAAACCTGTGAACATATGATCTCCTTAATAAAATATTCCAGCAGCTTCTTCGCAAACCATAATAATGTTCCTTATCCAGGAATCACAAACTAAAGGGCATGGAAAAGTCACGGAAACTCATTAGTCAAAACTTGTGGGAACCCTGGCAAATGAAACGAGCATGACTGTGCCTTTAATAACACTATGAAGTATTTAACCGCTGTAAATCACGTGTTTGCAAATGCCTTGAGGTGTGCGTGTTTGTTGAAGTCATGGCCCAGTCAGAGCGTCATTACTCCATCTATCTCTGAAACAAGACAGGTTGACTAATATAATTCACTTCCACCCTTTGAATTTCCTCAATTATTCCACGTCGGCATTCTCTTCCTCAACGGGACAGGCTGCAAAATCTTTCTCTGGCAGCAGGCCGTACTCATTTAGGAAGTTCTCCACATCCGTAGCGAAGAACTCCTCATTCAGATGCTTTGTAATGCACATAAAGTTGCCCAGCAGCTCTCCAGCCTTGTACACCAGCAGGGTGGGCAGAACGTCGTCTGAAAAACGCTCACCCGCTCCTGTGGCAGAGGCTCGGATTCGGCAGAATTTGACAGTGGAATACTCTGCTGCCAGGCAAGTCAAGCAGTTGTTGAGAGCGTCACATCCTCTGATCCCGTCATCATAGATGTGCACAACCACTAGGGTCAGATGGTGCTCTTTCTCGATGACATCCAAGAAGGCCTCTCCACTATCCAACTCAAACACGGCATCGAATTTCGGCCCAAAACTCAGGCGCTCATGCATCTCCTGCATGCACTGCCTGCGATACTTATGCAGACACCTTTCGTCCTCTTCTTGGATCATTTCGTACTCCTGAACGCTCATCTGCATGTGGTCAGACATAGCAACATAGCAATTTTAATAAACACGCAAAGCAACTCCTACACTGCCAGTCGACAAATTTAATTGAATTGTTTCTAAAATGATTCTGATTATCTTAAAAACATGTTAGTGTAGTGTTAAACACTTGAAATTAGGGGTTCAAGCACGTAGCGCTGAAACCTTATTGTAATTGTTTGAATGGCCAAGGATCAGCATTCTCCACCTAAAACTGATCGGGCAGACCAAATCGTAAGTCATAGAGACTTGAAACTAGAAGGGATGGTAGTACTCACATCGTCTACAATGTCACCAAAGCTCGTCCCAATCGGCCTGACCGGGGCGCTACAGCGATCAGAAAGTACGAAAATACTGCTAAACCTGTCGTCGCAGGCTCAAGTGTCTTATATCATTGGAATCCTTGGCTCACAATGGACAACACTACGAAAATGTGATCAAATTTTTGGGGTATTTTTTTTTATTTTTATAAAGCCTACTTTTGCGAACTAGTCCTAGGTTACACAATCGGTATGAAACCAGTGCAGAAAGATTCTCTGGAGATGGTGAATATCAATAATTATCAAAAAAGTAGAACTTTCGACTCAGAGATATTTTCGCTAAGCTCGGAAGTGCTATGTAAGAGCTCAATCTGTGGTCACAGTAAAAAGACAAAAAAGCAGAGGAGTCTGGCCACTTGGTGGTTCTATAACAGGGAGAAAAAAACATAAAAATGGCTATAACTATGCACCCGTTGGTCCGATTGGTGTGCAGTGTATTTGGCCAAAGTGCCACAAGCATCTATAAGGACTTGCATGTATCTCAAAAAACATGGCCATCAGCCAATGAATTTTGAGCACCTATTAGACAAGGTTAACGGAGGCCAATCGAAATGAAACTCAGTGTGCATGTTTGAACCATGGCCCCAGAGGTCTGTATGTTTAGTTTTGTATTTACTCTCAATTATAAATTGTCTTTATGTATGAATTTCTTTACAAAACTTACTTTTAATTTTTTTTAATTTTTTTTAATTAATGGTTATTAGACCAAATAGTGAAGGAAAAGCATATACACTACCATTCAAAGGTTTGGGGTCAGTAAGATTTTTTTAAAGAAGGAAATTAATACTTTATTTAGCAAGGATGCATTAAAACGAACAAAAGTGTTCCAAACTATTTCTGTTTCACATAAATTATGTAGTTTTGAACTGTTCATCAATGAATCCTTAAAAAATATTTTGTGGTTTCCACAAAATAATTCAGCAGCAAGGGTGTTTTCACCATTGATAATAATAACAAATGTTCCTTCAGCACCTAATCAGCATGTTAGAATGATTTCTGAAGGATCATGTGACACCTGGAGTAATGACTGCTGAAAATTCAGCTTTGCCATCACAGAAATATATTGTTGATCAAATAAATGCAACCTTGGTGAGCATAAGAGATAAAAAAAAAATTTCAAAAATCTTACCAACCCCAGTTTTTAGAAATAGTAATGTAGTTTACACAATTTTTAAAGCACTGTGATTATTTACTTAACATTTTTTGATCATTGCATAATTTTATGTTATTTCACAGTTTTGATGACTTTACTATCATTTGAAAATGTGGAAAATATTAATTATACAGAATGAGTAGCTATGTACAAGCTGGTAAGCTATGGGATGTATTTGGAATTAAAATGACTCATTTTATTGTGCTTGTTATATATGTAGATGTCAGTTGGGAATTTTTTACTGTTACCTTGCGGATGAGTTTTTCCTGGGTGTCATCATTACTAGGTTTGGGGTTGGACATCTGTCTGAGGAGCTCTCTCTTGTTTGGAGGGACGCTTTCATGGTCCTCACTCTCAAGTTTGAACTTCCTCCAGTCATGGATCACACCTTTGGGCCCTGAGATGCAAAGGTGTTTTGTTATTTAAGATCTGAATTTGTCATTTCAATCAGTGGATTGATGGATAAATCATGTTAAATCAGTTTCTTTAATTAGAGATAATCGTGGGTGTATCAAAGCATAATGAGTGAAATCTCCAGTATTGCCTCATCATTACTGTAAAATAATGAATAGCTAGCAGGATGTGTTCTGCAATCAGTGTGATACTCTAGAATGTAGAGTCTTTCCTTGTTTCGATATCAGTAATGAAATCTTTTTTCACCTGTTTGTGTTGCTGGTAGTTCCTCAATCTCAGGTGAACCTGACATGATGAATCCTCGAAGGAGACCTGATGATAGAAATTACAGTTCCTATGAGACATTTTCTTTGTCTTTATTCATTTGTTTGTGCTTGTGGTTTCAGTTTAAATAATAGTAAGTTGTTGCTCCATCTGAATATGCCCAGTTTGTGCAACTTCCTCTAAGAAATGACCTGATTTTATATTTCCAGACGATATGAGATGCACAAACATATGGGAAGTTTTATGTTATGATGGGTTACGCTAGTGCAGTGAGTCTTCATAATCAAAGTAGATTTTATTTCTGTTGCATGAGCTCTTCACACTGTCAGAGTATGTTACAATTATCCAGGTTGAGGTGGAATTAGCAGATTACTTTCTTATAGTGTTGGATTAGAATTAGAATCAGATTATATTGGTGTGAGTAATGTTTTCTTGTGTGTAAAAGTATTGTACTAATGCTACACGTACATAAACCTGAAT